TATGTTTCGAAGTACAACTTCTTTTTCAAATGTGACTATTTACAATTCGGTATCCAATATATATACGAAATAATTTATCAAAACAAAGTACTTAAGAAAACATCAATAACATTACAAAATAAACTAACTATTTAAAGTAAATAAGGGTACTTAGGTAATTATAATATCCATCAAATAACAATAAGATAGTCCATTACCGGGATTATCTCACAGAAAACTGGGAAAGAGATTTAATAAGGGTGAATTATTAATATCTAATTGATCATTTAGTAAGTTATCTGAATTTTTAAATCTATTTATTTCAAGTGTTTCTAAATGGTTTAATTTAAGGCTTATTTTCAATTTCAAAATAACATCTACTCAGCAAATGAAGGTCTTATTATGGGGAACCCATTAAGCCCGTTGCTTGCAGAAATATTTATGGATAATATAGAAAATAAAATTCATAGCAATAATTTAAGTAAACATTGTCTGTATTGGCATAGATATGTTGATGATATATTGACTGCTTTTACTGGTACTAGTAGACAGTTAAATTATTTATTAGTTTTTATCAATACTATACACCCTAATATTAAATTTACTATGGAAACAGAGAAGGATAATTCAATTAATTTTTTAGACTTAAATATTATTAAAAATAATAAAGGCCATAGTTTTGGGATATTTCATAAGCCATCACATACGGATATTACAATAAATAATAGTTCATCTCATCCATACAAACAAAAGCTGGCAGCATACAACAGTATGATCCATAGGTTAGTTAATATTCCCCTTACCAAAGAGAACTTCACAAAAGAATTAAATATCATTAAACAAATCGCAGTAAATAATAATTTTAATTCAAAGTTAGTAGACAACATTTTAGAGAAAAAACTTTTTAAACAGGCTATTCAACAAGTTTATCCCATAATTAAAGATCCAAATTGCAGATATAAGAGTCTTACATATATAGGAGCTCCTAGTGAAAAGGTATCATCATATTTAAAAAACCAAAATATTAACGTAGCTTTTAAAACCAATAATACGCTTGGGAAGTATATTAAAAACAATAAGGGTAAAATTAATCCTAATAATAAATCGGGGGTATATAAATTAAATTGTGGTAGTTGTCCAAAATTGTATATTGGTCAAACAGGCCGTACTTTCAAAAAACGCTATTCCGAACATTATAATAGCTATACAAAAAACAAAAATAATTCTACTTACTCAAATCATATTTTAGCTGAAAATCATACTTTTACAGACAACTTTGAAATTTTACATGTAGAAAATAAGAGCCTTAAATTAAACCATTTAGAAACACTTGAAATAAATAGATTTAAAAATTCAGATAACTTACTAAATGATCAATTAGATATTAATAATTCACCCTTATTAAATCTCTTTCCCAGTTTTCTGTGAGATAATCCCGGTAATGGACTATCTTATTGTTATTTGATGGATATTATAATTACCTAAGTACCCTTATTTACTTTAAATAGTTAGTTTATTTTGTAATGTTATTGGTTTTTTCTTAAGTACTTTGTTTTGTTAAATTATTTCGTATATATATTGGATACCGAATTGTAAATAGTCACATTTGAAAAAGAAGTTGTACTTCGAAACATATGTCATGTTGGTGTTTTTTTAAAAATTTTTATTTTTAAAATAAAAGTGTGAAATTCTACCAAATTTGGTTTTACTCTTTCTAAACTTTTTCAATTTCATTTGAAAGAATTGGTATATAACAACTTATTATCAAGGAAATCTAATAAAGTTATAGCAGATCCTACTTAAACTACTGGTTGTTCTGCAGGATAAATGAACTTTTCTTGAGATTGATCTCTCTCTAAAATCTAAAACCGACCTGATGGCCCCCAATTTATTTTCCCTAATAGCCACTAGAGTCGCTATTAGAGGTAGGTGTATGTAAGAAATAGCTAATCTCTAATTATTTTAAAAGTCTTTTGCCAATACAACATGTGCAGAGATTTTTTTACTCAGCATACATTTTACTTCTTTTCTAGTAGGTGGGAACTTTGTTCTGCCATTAAAGCTGTCGAGACATTCATCTACCTACTTAATGAAAAAAAGTAGCTGTAACAATGGATCTGTTCCAATTCACCTAAAATAATTATAGCCATTTTGAAATATATTATTAAACACACACATTATACAGTGGTTTTCTTAATAAATTGAAGATGACTTACCTCTAGAAAGAAATGTGTACAAAAACGCGAATTTCTGGAACGAAATTGCTTCATGCAAAAAATAATATGCGAAAATAAACATTTATTGAGGTAAACGGGGGTCACATTGAACATTTGTTATAAAAAGTTTTTTAAGTATTGTTATTTGTGCTTTTTTCTTAATAAAGTAGTTCCTATATTTAGATTATTTGTTTTTAATTGTTTAATCCATGTTAACGTGGTTAATCACTCTCTGTGAAATAAATGTGATCTATGATTTAATTACTGGTTTTATTAAAAGAAACAAAAATACAAAAAATTGTGTCACTCGGCAATACAAAACGTTTACAATAATAATGTAAAGTTGACTCAATTAATGTAAATCAAAATATTTGTGCAGCTTCATGTACAACTTAAAATATCTCGAAAAATAATACTTTTATCGCTATGAAGAAAGAGTATGATAAAGTATTGGAGAATCGAAAATTTGTAATAAAACTACAGTTTCGCCAGTGGCTTAGAATTTGGAAAGGATCAACCAGTCACTTGCCCCTGTCGTACGCCTTTGATGGTAGCCAGAAACGTTTATTTAACATAATTTGTAAAGGTATATCTACACTTCCCGCCAAATATGACAATAATACGTCAAATAGTTTTAAAGTACTGGACAGAAATAATTTTTAATTTTTTAATCAAGAATGGAGACACATTTGATCCAGATGATTTGTGTTATAAATCTTCATAATTTGAGTTTAGGATTATATAGTTGAATCATTTCCAATTAGTAATAAATCACCCTGTACACGATCTATTAAACTATTATAATTATTTTTTTACCTATTGACATTTAAACCACAATACGACGATAACAATTTTTCTTAAAGCTAATCAATATAAAAAAAATTTGATCCTTTATAGAAAAATATCAATAAATTGGCAGATTACCATTCTACAAACTATTCTATTCCCCAAGATTCATTGACTACTAAACAATCCATACATGAATAATTGAACGTTCTCAAGAAAACTATTCTCTCTAAAAATCTTTGCCCGATGAATTGGTAGAGCGCCAGTTACACACTTTCAACTAATTGAACGTAGTAATGGTTGTGTAGTTTTTATTGATAGGATGATTTATCTGGGACATAAATCAGTGCAGTTCCCTTTATTGGAAACCATTATTTAGGCCATTGTTTCGCTTTCTTTGCGGAACAGACGTCTACGAGGTACCAGATAATGGCTTTTATTTTTCTTCGGTTATCCTTCCGTCCATCTTAGGGTAAATTCTTGATCAAAACAAATTTTGATTTGTGATAGCCATTTTAGCGGTTAGTGTTATCTAATGACGCTTGAAAATTAAATTGGACCAATATTGCGGACGTTTTATCCAATAGAACGTTTTTAGATGGGGTAGAAAAGGAATAAATTATTATAAATACGTATTTGTGCAGCTTGAATGGTCTTTTTTCAAATAACTCAATTCAAGTGACATTTTTCAAAAAGTCCGTCTGACATTTTTTTATAAATCTGCTGAAATTTTAATAACAACCTGATTATTACACTTAAATTTTGATTTTTGGCATCTTCACCACCCCAGAATAGTATATAAACTTTGATGACGTTACAATTTTTCATATCAAATCCCCAAAATTCATTGTTCATTAAGTTTATTCTCCAAATATACTCAGATGAATTTAATGAATTTAATTTTTAAATTTAAATTTATAATAAAATGCAACTCCCTGATTATTTATATTTTCCTCCTTTAATTGTTGTTTTCTTATTTTTTTATTCATTCAAACAATAAAATAATTAGTACTATAACTTACAACTTTTCATAACTTTTTATTTTACCTGTCTAGTAAAACTATGAGAACTATATTATTACCACCTCACATTCAAATTTACATTTACACTAATTTTATAATTTTAAATATCCTCTTATTTTGTGATGTTCAATATATTTCCACATCTTCTAAATTTATAATATTTTTAATGTATTTGTTTTGTGCATGTTATCTTCATTCAACTTCCTTTTTTATCTCAAAGTATTCTTTACATTTCTTCTTTAAAATCATTATTTTCTTTATACCGAATTATTTATTAATATAACACTTCATTTACTAGTGCACTTTATGCCATATACCGCATTTACTTATTATTATACAAATCAATTATACAAATAATATATTACCCTTTATTTTATTTATTCAAAAACTATTAATATTGCATTATACTATTACTATTCTATAAACATTTTTTCTTTAAGTTACTCTTCTTATGCACAACGTCTTTGCTTTTTAAGTCAAACTATAAATGCTCTTTTCTTTACTATATTTTCTTGACTACACTCACCACTCCATTCAAAATAATGATTTATTTAAAAATGCTCTAACTTTCAAATGCGAAGGCTGATTTATTTGAAGTTTTTTGCAACTTTTAGATAAAATAATGTAGTTTTAAGATTAATATACACATAATCCACTCATACACTAATTACTGACCAAACTAGCTCTTTTTTGTTTTACCTTTTTAATTTCCAATTTAAAAGCTAGTTTTAAATTTCTACTTTTCTTTCACCTTCGTCCACACTCTTTCTTTTTCTGTCAATTTTTTTTCTTTATTATCTTTCATAATTCCTATATTTTATTTTCCATTTCATTTGTATCATATTTTCCACATTTTTTTTAGACATTTATATTTCTTTTTCTTTCCTTCATTTTGTTTCCTGTTTTCCTTTATCTTGTTTCTTGCGTTATTTCTGATTTTTTTATTATCTTTCATCTTTCCTATATTTTATTTTCCATTTCATTTGTATCATATTTTCTACATTTTTTTTCGACATTTATATTTCTTTTTCCTTCCTTCATTTTGTTTTATATCTTTTGCTTGTCTATGTATTTCTTCATTTACTTCTTCATGTACTTCTTCATTTACTTCTTCATTTATTTCTTCATTTATTTCTTCATTTATTTCTTCATTTCTTTCTTCATTTATTTCTTCATTTATTTCTTCATTTATTTCTTCATTTATTTCTTCATTTATTTCTTCATTTATTTCTTCATTTATTTCTTCATTTATTTCTTCATTTATTTCTTCATTTATTTATTCATTTATTTATTCATTTATTTATTCATTTATTTCTTCATTTGTTTCTTCATTTGTTTCTTCATTTGTTTATTCAATTATTTCTTCATTTATTTATTTCTTCATTTATTTCTTCATTTATTTCTTCATTTATTTCTTCATTTATTACTTTATTTATTTTTTCATTTACTTCTTTATTTATTTCTACATTTTTATTTTTCTTTTCGGTATCTTTTTCTTATTTAAGTTGTCTTCTTTCCATTTCTTCATTTTTTCACTGTTTATTTCTTTCCCTAACTCCTCCAATTTGTTTTCCACCTTCTCCATATCGCTTTTTATATACTTTTTTATCCTTTTCTCCATTCCCTTCATTTTCTTTATAATTTCTTCTCTATCTTCCAACTTTTCTGGTTTCCTCTCTTCCTTATCATGTTGTCTATCCTAATTTATTTTCATTATAAGTATTTCCTTATATTGTTATCTATCTTTTTCGTTTATTCCTTATCTTGTTGTCTATATTTCTTTATATAGATAGCAGCGTCATCATTAGTGCCTCATGTCTACACTTTTTTTTTAATTATTATTTGCTTCTCCTGTTTATTTTCTTCACTAACAATATTATTTACATTTTGTTTATTCATTTTACCTTTTCCAACCTCTTTCATTTCTTCAGATTGTTTCTCCTTCAACTCAACCTTTTTTTCTCCATTTTAAATCAACTTAATTTTTTCCTTTCTATCTTTTATCCCTTTTATAATTTTTTCATAAAACTTACACCGACTACTTTCATCTTCTACCAAAATCAACAATTAAATAGAAAAGATTATACAAAGTCTGGCCCAAATTAAAGTTCCAAATTTTCCTATTAGTTTTCCATTTCAATCCAAAAATTCCTCACCTTGGCTGGCGATACTATATATAAAAACTCCCAGTATTTCCAGACTCTTAAAGGAGATGGTTCCGTTTTAAAAGTTTTCAAACACAACAATAATACCAAATTAAAGTAAAAAAAAAATATATTTCTAGTTTTTAAATTTTTCTTCTTTGATGCTATTCTCATTTGTTCTAATGTCCTGTCAATTCTCTATTCACCATTCTTATGCTTTTCCTACTCTTGTCTTTTCTCCTCAGCTCAGCTCTCCTGCCTGCTATTTAGTTCAACCTTTGCTTTTTTCAATTTACAAATAAAATTTCTAAACCTTTGTTAAATTTTTTTCTTTATTTCACCCCTCCAACTATCAATGTAACTCAATAATGAACAATAACTGTAACTAGCATTAAATATTCCCACTTCTGACTTTATTAAAACTACTAATTTCTTAAAAATTCTATCTGACAGTGTTTTTTTTAACCTCCTGACAATTTTCAATAAAAAGTCGACATTCTGATTAGTATACTTAAATTTTGATGATGTCACATTTTCCATATCAATATAATATGATAATTATAATATATTGTCTAAAGGTTGGAGGGTGATAATGCTTGATAAAACTAGTTTTAAACATTAAAAAAAAAATGAACACGTCCTGATTATGTAGGGATTTAAAGTAATTTTTAATTCCTAGGAAGTAAAAGTGTATTTTAATCCCCGACAATAAGGTATTAAATTATACCTTTAGTTCCTAATATGCATACCATTTATATTTAAAAATATATTATTAATAAATATTGGATTTTTTACCAGTTATTAGAGATTCAGATATCTTAATTTTTTGGTAAAAATGCCATTATTTTAAGAATGATAGCCTTTTATAAAAATAACTTTATTTAATAACATATGAAAGTGTTAAAGCTATCACATGTGAATTAGGAGAATAGTGTTCTGGCTGAATTCCAGGAGATGTGGTGCAGGATTTTAATGCCAAAAGAAAACAACCATATGTTAAAGAAAACTGAAAAATGAATTCATTTTAATAAAGGATTATTATTTTTAAAAGTTGTGGTTTATTTTTTTATTGTCTTCTTTTTGATCCTAAACAAAAATAAAATTTATAGTTTTATTTATTTTTTAAACAAAACATTTTTTAACAATTATCTTATTAATGTAAGAAACCTTTTTATTAAATTGTACGTTTTAAACAGTCCTCAAAGCAAGATCTATTGATTTTACAATGTAACAATGACCCAGTTTGTAATTAATATTATTGTGTATGATCATACAAATTATTATACAAGCATTTCTGTTTGTAAAATCGTAGTTTTTGAGGCATAAGTATGCTCTTGATCCGTAAATACTTATTAAGTAAAAAAACAAAATTTCTGTGTATGTATAAAGAGCGCTTTGAATAAATAATTACATTGAATTTTTGTATGTTTCCGCTATACAAACAGATGAAGAGGTTTTAATTAAATAGTTCTCTTTTTAAGCACATTTTACCAGTTAAATCTCTTTGATATCTTTGATATCAACAGTGTAGATAATTTGCTAACTAAATACAATTATCATGCAGCAATAAATTTGTCATTTACATGCAGTTTTAAACAACTTACCACATTGTATCGAATATTCGAGGCATATAAAATAGTAACAGAAGACGTTTAGGGTCATAATATCACATCATTACGGACGCAATATTAATATTCGTAATGCCATGCTGTGTGCCCTAATTCATCCCCAAATTTTATTACAAACCCGCGAGGAAACCATTAAAACAACTACAAACCTGTTTTCATGACCTCCGTCGGTATTCGTAAATGTAATTTTCTCTCACAAGTAAACAAGAGATGAGTGCTTTTGTGCTTTTACTTAAATGCTTGGATAATTTTAAAAAGCACAATTCCTAACAGACATCGTCGGTTTTACTTCATCCATTTACGATTGGTAAATCGCTAAAATATTCTTAATTTAGAAGTCTTTTTTTGTTTTTAAATCCATTATAAGTAGGTTTGGTTTCAGTGTTATAATATTTATTTTTGTTCTAAATGTTTTTTTAATTGCTTTTAAAATTGTCTATTTTAAATAAAAAATTCAAATGATAATAATGTCAATAAACCAGTAAAAATTTGTTGTATATTGATTTAGTGCAATGAATTTCATGTAAAAATTATCGGCAAAGTCCAAACTCAAATGGAAAAACATTAAGAAGGTAATTTAGTACCACTCCCATTAACGGGATGTCGCTTGTATAGAAATTAATAACAGTTTTTACAGTCAGTTGTTAACTTGTGCAAAACTTTAAACTTCAAGAATTTAATATGGCTGCTGCCATTGAAGATGTACTGGATTTTGATTCACTTGGATATTATGTACACTACCTTTTAAATTTAAGCATCTATTCAAAAGATGGGGAAATGGTTTACAGCAACAAATCATAAAGTACTCACAGATATTGGTAGTGATGCAATTTGTACATCATACTGAATATTCGGTTATTATTTTAGGGACAACCAAAAAATTAGACACAAGCGTCTAATAAAAATGCAGTTATTAACACTGTTTTGTGCTAATATTAAGTAATATTTCTGTTAATATTGTTGGTTTATTTTTTTTGTGTTTTCAGGTTTTAATGATCATTTTTGCAAAGAAAATGTTGGGCCTCTAAAATACCCCGTACTCTGTAATCACTAAAACAGATGAGCCTAAGCCATCAACCTAAAAATGGATTCACTCTCATTGACATCAAACAAGAAAAATGTAGTCCAAACTCTCCAAGGGTCTAAGCTGTGTGAAAGTTTAAGCTCCAAAGCTAGATTAATTTATCACAATGCCCAGACGATGAATAAGAAATTAAAAAACTACAAGTGGTGCAAAAATAAATCAATAAAAAAATTATCTAAAGAGAAAATGCTCTCCTACCTGAGTAGTGGGCTTGATAAGCATATAGAAAATTTTATCCTCTCTCAAATTCATAGACACCAAGAGAACAATGCTTTAGCTTCAATATTTGTAAACTTATTTACTACTTTAGGCTGCAAAACTCTTATAAAGGTCTTCGGCACTGTACATGCTGATTTTGTTACGGAAAACACTTTCCATATGATTTTTTTTATAAATATTTAATTACTTAAATGGTGTAAATGTATATTTTTCTGAGTATTTTCATGTTAAAGTTTTTTTTTATTGATAAATACCCCTTACGGAATATTTTTTACATTATAATCAGACGTAAAATGATACAGTTATATCTTAACTATGAAGATTAGAGAGAAGGAGGCGAATCGGCAATAGTCAAATTTCAAATTTCCATCCTTGTTTTTATAAAGTTCGCGAAATTGACTGTAGTTGGCATGTCTAATAACAGCGGTGTCAATTTTCTATGTAAGTTATTGTAAAATAAAGTGATTTTTTTAAAAAATTAGTGAAAAGAAATGAAAATAATGTGAAAAAAAGTACCTGATTACAAGTAACATGAGTGACAAAAAACATCAAAACAAGATTTACGTCCATCCAGATTGTAAAACAGGATAAAAATCAAATGTAAAACTAAAGAAAACACAAGAAGACATCAATTCAATGTCTTTTTAAAGCTTCTAATGTAAGTAAAATAATGTATTCATGTCTAAATATAATATTTATTGTAAACTAGTCACAATAATGTATCTTACGAAGATTGTTTATTTTATTACCAGTTTCTGTAATATAAAATTTTAGAGTCATAGATGCTGACTTACAAACAACAATAATTATGCATTAAATTTAACTTACTAGAAAAGACAATTTATTTTTTATAGAAGTTTTATTGTTAGATAAAGAGTTGCTACTGTTATTTTTTTTTTACCCCAATTGTGTCATTGTAAATGTTTTTTATAGTATACTAAACGTTTAGAACAGTGGCAGCATACAGTGAGCATCATTAGCAAATTTTAAATTTTTTTGCACGGTTGAATAGAGAATAAAACCCCCTTTCAAATGAGCTATCACTCACCACCCCATGCCATTTAAATTTTTCGAAAAAGTTGCTCCCCTCCAGTAAGGGATGAAATTAAGGGTAAACTATTTATACAAAAATGTACATTGTAGAAATCAAAAATCGACGTGTCTCGGCGATTTTCCTAGCAAGACTCCAGTAACGAGATAGCCGATAAAGCACTTTCTAGAGATGATGCTCTTCTATATTTTGTAGAAGATATCAAATATTATGAGACTATTGTTACTGATGGTACTGTTAGCAAAATAAAAAGGGAAAATATGAAATTAAAGGATGAGGTAATACCATGTACATTCCCAAATCTTTATTTATACTTGTATTACAACAATAAAAAATTTGTTAACTGTGTTTTATTTTACTCTTAAAACTATATATTGGTTTAGTTCAAAAAAAAATTTTCCACGAAATTGTACTTAACAAATTTTAGTATTTAAGAAACCTTTTCGAATTTGGTCATACGTACCTAATTTGTATTTTATATAGATACAATTAAATAATTTATCAATTAAAAAATACAAGATTTATTTAGAAATAAATACAACAGTATGTTCTGTGCTTTATTTAGCTATAAAC